GCGCCGAAAAGCCTACCGAGAACGGGGGATGCGTACAATGCCCCAGTTCGTGCTACCTTCAGTGCAGTTTGGAGAAGGCGGTGTAATAGTCTGAGCTGGGATATACACTGAGGAACAAACTGGACACCATATTGTTGAAGGCAACCCACCGCAGTCCATTATGTCCAAGAAATTACTGAGGAATACATCCTCACAACAGGAATCAGGGATCATCATTGGCAGGGATTTTCGATTTCTGGATGACAATGCCAGACCTCAAAGAGGCAGAGTTGTTCATCATTGTTTACAAAACCTGGGAATTTCCCATCTGCCCTTCATTGTCACCAGACCTCAATCTCCTTGAGCTCATAGATGTTGTAGAGAAGGCTTTTCGATTACCACCCGCAGCCAGTTGACCTGCAACCATTGAGTGCACCGTTGCAACATCTATGGAGTGAAAGTCCTCATGAAATTAGTGACATCCTTACAGACAGTATGCCCAACAGGTTTTAGATAACAGAGGTTTTAACAGATATTAATTGTTTAAAAAAATTATTGTGTCCAATAAACAAAATTATCGAATAAAAACGTTTGTTATTTTTCAAAATTCCTCAATTAAATTTTCCTTCAGAAAAAATACAATAATTTCTAATAAACTTTAATGCAATTTATAATAAAAATAAAATAAAATCGCTAGTGAAAGTAAATCCTCCACAATTGGCAATATCCCTATTCATTTTTTAGCAGTTTATATGTTCATGCTTAAATAAAAACACGTTATCTATATGTGCATTTAATATCGTCATGTTTGTCACATGTACCAAGCTTGCTTTGTGTTATATAACCGAATATTTTGGGTGGATGTAGGAACGCACGACCATATTGTCTCTAATGGCGAGAGGCTGAAGATTATCCACCCGGCTACCGCATTCCCCAAGTAGATTTCGTATGTTAAACGAATGGCACATAAAGCTACAGAAAATTAAAAAAACAGGTTTGTTAAAACGTAACGGGCTGTTAAAAAAATAGAAGAAAAAAGAGGAAATAAGCCTCATTGAAATGATAAAGCGACATCAATAAAGAACGTGTGTTCAGTTTTTGGCTGAGAGAAGTATCATTCATATTGAAAACTTTGAAACTTTTTAATATGACCAATCGGCCGGAATCTGACAGTCAAAACGGTCGAATAAACCAAAGACTAAAACTACAGATTCATCATATTTCAGCTGCGAAGGAAAAGTTATCGATACACTTTTTCTCGTAGTGCATTATTTGGTTATATTTGGCTTGCTGGTTTTGTCTGTCAAAAGCGTGTCGCTATTGTCACTCCAACAAACAAATGGGATTGGACAACGTACACAACCTGGAACACGTGCATCTAGTTTTTATAAACCATTCCTAGAGACAGCCAAGAGCATTTTAAGTTTAATGGAATTTTCTTAAAATTATTGAAGACATGAAAGGCATTAATAAGACTTTGAAGTCAGTTTATCGACTGAAATAGCAAGTTGTAGAAGTAAGTACAGCCTCAACTGCTCGTTATTTTTACAATAGGCGTGCTGCAGCGAAGCCGGGAAAACCTTACTGGATATTGCCGACTCAACGAGTGTTCGAAAATAATAGATAGACGTAGATATTTATGTAGATTCTGTAAGAAAATAGGAAATCTCATAATATATACTATTGTGCCCATTTATGGATGAAAAACACCAAAAAAGAAAAGATGATCAATGCTATGACATTTAAATCCTGAAAGTAGATAATTCACATTTAGTTCAATAAATATAACCATACCAAGGTAAGCACGATAGAACCTGATGATCGCGGTTCTTTAGCCGCCAGATAAACAAAGTAATAAGTAAAATCTACTTCTTAATTGTCATGGAATGTGCAGTATAAAAAGTCACTAAGTCGTCATCAATGGGAAAGGCGAAAAAAATCAGATGAATCGTTCTGCATGAACTTGCATCCAGGAGATGAGAGAAAGGCGGAAATGTACAATAGTATCACAGAATTATCACGTGAGTTACGAGATTATAGGCGAAATCTAGATGCCGTGAACAAATGACTTTTCTAGTAGAACAAAATCCACGATGTACGCTTGTTTGAACTACGAAAAAATTATTCATCAATCATAGTGAATTCCTTTATTAATTGTTAATGATAAATTGTCACAGATACAGTTTTGGTTAACCTTAAGGGAGTCTTTTCGGCAAGATAACGCCCGGTCCGGCATGAAGACGTTCGTGGGATTGAGCTCCGGCCACACCCAACCATCGCTATTCAGATTATTTCTTTCTGCTTACTTTGTATAATGGGAAACCAACAAATTTTGCTGAATTAGAAATCACGGTTTTCGACAGCCATCCCAAGAGGTACCAGCGGGATTTTGAACAAACGGCTGATAACAGAGGACCACAACGGGCCTTATTTTATTTTAAATATATATTTTCCCCAGTAAAATCGTCCCGAGGAATATCGAGTACTCTGTAGGAGTGTTTGTATCGAGTGTTCCGTTAATTTATTGGAATTTATGTAATTTATTAGCGTGAAAGAAAGGGGTTGTTTAACCCCACCTCGAGGAATATCGAGTCCTCTGGGGGAATGAATGTGCCCAGACTCCTATGTTTGTATCGGGTGGTGATGTGTATGAATTGTATGTTTTGTGTCTATACTTGAGGCTAGCAATTTAGGATATCGACGTAGTGTACATATTAAAGCGTATAATTTGCAACCAGATCGAAACGTTCAAATGGTTGCAATTGGAAACCAAATACGTGTGAAGGACCAGAAAAAGAAGGAAACACGCAGAGAGCCGGCGATGACCTCTGCTGTTTGTCCACCCACATTACATAGTAAAGGCATAAAACTTTGTGCTTTTTGTTTCAATATGGTCATTTTTTATGTTTTTCATTATACATATACATTGTGTAATGTACCTTCTCGAATGTTTTTGAAAGGTAAAAAAAAGGTTTGAAAAATGAAAGGACAAATTGTCCACAAATCGTTTGATCTTAAAAGAACCTTTGATAGATTGATGCACGTGTAAATGTGAATCCCCGGATGGTCCGAAAAGCATTTATCCTGCCACTTGTTGGTACCTGGAAAACGCCGCCCGCCCATGTTTTAAGTGGATTACGCATTTGACGCCCCTAACTTTCTGCATCAGGAATTATAAATTTGGAGGGTCGGAATTAAACGAAAACTCCATTAGGGGGGAAGAGGGTAAAAGGGAATCTGCGCAAAAACCCATCCTGGAAATACCACCGATTTCTAAGTTGTGGAAAAAATAGCCTCGCTGGAAGTTGTCTTCATCGCCCAACCGTTTCGAAGAGGAGCGTTTTTAACAAAAAGATCTTCACCGATAAACGCGTCTGTGGATAACATCGTCAAAGGTTTTTCGCTTAATTAAAATATTAATTATAATACTATCTTCTAAATTATATCTCACGAGAAGAAAGAAACGAGTGGAAGCAACGCCATAATATACCGTGCAACAAAAATTGGATGGTATTCACCAATTGTGTCTATCACAAACAAATAGCAAAGGAATAGCAATAAAAAATTATCCTTTAAGCGCCGCAAATGAAGTTAGTTGCAGAACTAACATTTGAAGAAAGTTTATTTTATGTTTGAGAAAGTTAGCCCGACAAGAAGAACTATCTGCCAAAACTTAAATGACCAGATGCTAATAAGAAATCCGGTCTAATATTCAGTTCAGTTTGTAGGTCATATTATATCACAAAGGACGCTGAAAAATCTTGAAACTTGTTGATTCTTGATAACTGATAGCAATCGGTTTTTCTTTATTGATCAACCTAGATCAATATCATCTGACGTTTGTATATGGGACGCAGTTATTTGCAAATAAATTTAGTGAATTCCACAAAATCGCAGTTCCGTTTGGGAAATTCGATAATAATTCCATCACAGTTGTAAAATTACAAGGATGCACCTGGAACTTCTTGCTTAAGATATTGTTAGCTTTCCGCCGTGAAGCTTCAACCATGGATATTTTAATTAAAATTGCATTTTCAGTTCGTTTTTAAATAAATACGTCATTTTTTTAGGTGAAAAATTACTAATTAATGTTATTTAATGCAATTAAACCTAAAACAAAAGCTGGATATAAAAAGATCACAATTACCAACGAATACAAATTTTGATAAAAATAGTTTGTACATCGTGGTAATGCTCTTGCTTCTTTTTAAAAAGATAGTTCCTACTCACAGTTAATTGTTTTCAAAGATCCGGATTTCGAGCTTATAGCTCATCATCAGGTTGAAGAAGTTCTACAGCCTGATGGTGAGCTATAACCTCGAAATCAAGATTGAACAACACCATTTATCACTTCTATTATGGACTTGCTTGGCTATTTAAACTTTCTTCTGTTTTGCTTCAATTTTCTGGGAAGTAGTGATAGGAAAAATTTGCCGAACGAATTCGTATTGTAAAAATTGTACAAATCGAAACCATGCATACTTGATTTATCAGGAGCATATATAGTAGCTATTCTGTTCGTCTATAGATCAAACTATGCCACTCAATAATGAACTAACTAATATGTCATGTTCATTATTATATTTCATTCACATAATTGAGATACTTACCTAGTTTTAAAGGAAAAGAAAAAATTCATAGTCACTGTATGGCTATAACAAAATTGCTCTGTAAGTAAGTCTTATTTATATTTTTATAGTCTGTGTGTTTGTCAAGTTTAATGACAAACATAATAAAATAATTTAGAAGTTACACTTCTGAAAATGAAAAATGCCAGCTTTGAAACATATTTGACAGCTAATTTTTTTAATTAAAATAATTTAATTTAGGTGCAATCAAAAAAGAATCTTTGTTCTTCTAAGTACCTTAGCGAATTTTTTAAAATAGTTTCCCCCAAGGTGTTATTATTTGATTTTCACTAGACTGAGCCATGTCTAAACAGTCGACAGGCTGTTTCGCCTCGGTTTGTCGAAATCCGTTGTACAATTTTCCGTAGTTGTCATGTTGAAGGTGTAACTTACCTCTTATGGGTGTTGGTTGACGCGAGGCATGGTGAGAGGTTGTGAAGGCCCAAGGGGGGCCCGCTCTCTTCCCGCCCTTCCCTGACTACTGCCGCCCACACGGCACTCTGCCCCCACCGCCTCCAAGCAAAACGTCAAAAGCGCATGTCACCCCCTGGCCTCTGAGCAATATTAATAACTGTCGGAAGAGGCGAGACGGGACGGGCCGAGTTCCGAGACCCACGTATCAAGTCCAAATTATGCTCGACATTCAATTAATTCAGTTTCGAGCTTTTGGTGTACTCAGCCGAGTAGTCTTGCTGGTGTAAATTAAACTGTCCATCGATTTGACACTTGTTGAGAAAAGTATGGGAAAAGATTCCAGGACGATCATTTAAACACAACTTTCTCTCTTATTAAAAGTAAATATGTTTACTTTTGTTTCAATTGACAGGAAATATAAAGTGCAAGATTAAAGAAGAAGGATCAAACCATTTGCGGTGAAACTTTAGCGTTAGACGAATGATAAATCCCAGAGATAAGAATTAGAAGTTATTTGATAGTAACAAGAAATCAAAATTGGCTCATCATGTTAGTTGATGAATAGAGCCAGGATTCTCAAATTCCAACTTTTTTAATGAATTTTTGAAGAAACTTTTTTTCGCCAAAGTTGCATGTCTCATGGGCAACCTCAGCATGCATATTTCACTCCTGCCAGTACATATTTGCCTCATTTTTTACTAATTTTGTATTTCAGTTTTTACGTCATGCTTTTCACATTTACCTCCTCTAAGACAGTGGTCGTTAACCAGAAGGAGTGGTAGTCTGATGGAGCGAGGTCAGGTCTAAATGGTTAGTTCAGTAGAACCTTGAGTCCATCCGCTTGTATGTTTTCAGAAGGAATTCTTCAGAAATGTCGAATTATTCAACCCATATTTCTCTCATTTAGTCTAACATACGCTTCATTTTGTTACTACTTAATGAATTAGATGAGATTCTACATCGTAACATTTTTTGCAATTATTACGTCTATAAGGATGATTATATGTACTAATAATTATGATATAGAATTATAAGCCATATGACAATAATTATACCCACCAACTATGAAATCTACATTGGTTATAAACATTTTTATCAAATAATTAGAACGATTAAAAAGAAAGATTATTAGAAATCGTCATGAGACTGAGCTGGAAAGTTGGTGCTCTCTAATAGTCTTCTCCCCCTGGTTGTTTTAGACAATGCTTTCCTACTAATGAAAAACTCTTTGCCAGTAGTTAATGAGTCGTACTTTCCAAGAAGGTAAGTAAGGACCATCCAAGACCGTTGCTAATTAGTAATATTATCTGTCGAGTATTCCATCCTGTTTGCAAGTTTAAATCTGTTAGTTGAAGAAAAAAAGACTCAACTATAGTTAACAATGTCTCTTAAGTCTGACATTGCGAGATCTTATAATGTCTTCATTAAAAAAACAAATTAAAATGCCAGTTTAATAATTAACCAGAACCCCCAATAACAATACTGTAGTGGTAAACAATTTGTCAAATCCTGATAACACAACATAAACTTTTTTCCATAGGAATGCATACTTGAAACCTTCAATTTGCCATATGACGTAAGAGCAGATCTTAAACAACAATTCTTGGCCAGCAAGACATGCACAAAAATTGCTTTATAATCATAGAAACATATGATGAGTCATTGTCATAACATGATGTAAATGTGTGCTCTGGTACTTAATTAGCCTATAAAATAGCAATATAGTATTTGATCCAACTTTACTGAAGGTTAATCGTTGTTCTTTTTGTTTTCCCCTGCTGGCTATTTTTTTTTTTTTTTTCAGTATACAATCGAAATCTTTCTACGACGACCCGTCCTGGTGTATCTCTATTTCCACGTGGTCCAGGATCGTCCTCTTCTTCCACCTACTCCGATCCTTGTGATCCATAATTGCATCCTTCTTAAGATCCGTAAGTATCCTAAGTTGGGGGCTCACTGGCTTGGTCGTCCTGGTAGAGCAAAGCTTCTAACTCTGTCTATATAAAAGAGTCGCAGGCTATGTCCAAGGACGCCCTCAGGTATACAAGTGACAGCTTAAGAGCAATCTTGGCAATCTAACCACCCCATTGTATGCTCCGGTATGGATCCACGGGCGCCCCCGACTATACTATCGACCCTGAAATAGGGCTTCTGGTGCTGTCGAAAAAGCATAGACCGTAATAGGCTGTATTTGCTCCCTTTATTCGACTCTTTCCGTACAACGATCCGCTGACTCATATACCACACCGAGTTCGAGTACATGTTCTAAGTCTTGGTTGGTGATCCAGCTTTATTGAAGGCTAATGGATATGCTTTTGGCTTTCCCTTGCTGGCTAACTACGTTAGACGTTGCTACCTGATAAACAGTTATCAGTTCATCAATTAGAGCTGCTTTCTGAACCGACTTTGTCTTCTAGAGATAAAAATCTTCCACTAATTCACACTTGAAAACACCTCTGTCACGCTACATCTCGTTTTCATCCTACTATGATTTTCTACATAAAATCTTTCACACAGAAGAAACAGGAGGCTAGAGGCTGAATGAGCTTGCAGACTGGGAAGATACGAGCCGTTAATGGTTTCGTAATCCTAATGTGATAGCCTTCGTTCAACGATTCGCTGTTGCGCATAATTTGAGTAATGAGACGAAGAGAAATAAGTAAATTCGTCTAATACAAAAAATTTACCAATAAATGTTGAAACACCCTTAAAAAAAGTACATACCGTACTAAATACAAAAACATAAATTGCAACGACGCGAGTACTGGATATGAAGTAGCCACTTGCAGATGAAGCGCATGGTTGGACGTTAGAGAGATAATTTATGTGTTACTCCACATTTGTTTGGCTTAAGCACCTTCTTGACCTAAGAAACCATATGTTCAAATTTAATTTTACACAATATTGCACATTTTAGACTTCTGTAACTTTTTTTAAAGAACGCCTTAAAAGTTGTGCGGCACAATTTTACATACGTTTTTGCTAATTTTGTACGTTTGTATAAGTTGAAAAACTGTTTATTTATGCATGTTTTAGGTTTTTAAATATACTTGTTTTTACATATTTCTGTCTTTTGCCGCATTACGTTTTGCTACAAAAAAATCTGGTCCCTTTAAGGCGCACTGTGTATTGCCAAAATTAGTATGTAGGCGAAGAGACAAGCAAAAGAAAACTAGCCAACCGGTTCCAAAAAAAATGTGTTTTCAGTCTCCCGGTATGTCTCGTGTCCGTGTCTCCTTGAACAAATAACTATTTAGTTTTTAAATACATTTTTTTTTATTGGTTCAGTGAAAATCACCGTGCCCGAATGGTTAGGGTGTGTGAGTCGTATTTGTCACGCGAGCTGTACTGGGTTCGAAATGGCAAAGCTTATGCACTTTTATTTGAGAATAATTTGGAAAACGTTCTGACCACTTGTTCAAGACAGTCAATGACGTTAAGCCCTCCTACATGGCACTGGGTTTACTTTCAATGAAGGGACATGTCTTATTATTTATTCAAAGTTATTATTTGAAACTTATCTCAGCGTGTTTTAGTTTACTTAAAACTTGTTTGTAGCTCGTATGCTTTTGAGCTCAAAAGAACAGTTAGAGAATTATCAAAACATACAAATCGAAAAATAAATCAGCGAAAATTGATTTACTCGGATCATTCCAACATAATGTATGCCGATTAAAGTAATAATTATGATCGGATTTTTTAAACTTGAAGACATGCTGCAATTTTCTTTTTCTTCTATACTGTTCTGCACGTTAATCATTCTTTATAGATATTTTTAGTTATGGTGTTTGAAAAATTTTTGCAACTAAGAATTAATTGGTGAGACGGATTAGTAGGGTCTATTTTGAAAGCGGTAAAAGCTCGACAGAAGCAAAGGCATTTATTGTTTGACATCGACGATAAAAGCGGGAATGCAAGTTACCGGGATGCTCTCTCTCAAAAAGGCGGGTCTCTTTGGGCGATCCGGTCGGGTTTGAATCCTTTTGTTTCTCGTAGATCTTTTGATGATGAAAGGGCCGATTTTAGGGCTGGCACTCGTTTTCTCCTCCACGGTGTTCCTACCACCTTTTTCACCAGTCCGTTTCTGATCCGAGTCAATATCGACAAGGCTTGGGGCAATTTCAACCCTGGCTTATCCCAACGGTAAACAGGGGCCTACTAGTAATCAAACTCAGACTTATTTAAAGATGCCTACATTGATTTTTAAAACACATCCAACGTTCATATCAAGGTCCTGAGATTTACTGAAAAATTCATTTGCCATTGACTTTTGTCGCATAACCGCACAATAAGTGGCAGAATACTATAAGACCGTCCTTGTTAATAATGTTATTTTATAAAATTGTAAACCGCGAAGACAACCTTTCAGCTACATGAAGTTAAATTCAATAAAAGATATCAGTAAAATTTAAAAATATATAAAACCATGGTTGCCGTTGTTAGATGTCCTCTTAAGGCCTTTTTCAGACGAGGCAACTAGTTGTACGGACGGGTGACAAGGAGTGTCACGTGGTAGGAAAATGTTTGGGAATCGCCCCAAGCCACACGTAGTCAACTCGTCGGCCCAGTCGGGTGGCAGGCAGGCACAAGTGCTCGCATTCTCATCCTCACTCGTTGACTCAACTCAAAAGACCTGCTCGGCATTTGTCCTTCACACCAGTCGCCTAGTTGAGTCAACTGAGTTTACAATGGGAAGCGTTGCAATTCAATGTGGAGCAGTTCATTGAAGATATTCGTATTAGTTCTGTGATATAGGTCATGAGGTGTGAGGAGTATACTTATAAAATTAAAAGAAGCGAAGCTTGGAGGGAAGTAGCACAACCGTATTTGAGAGAAAACGCCCGTTTCCCAATATCATAAACACGTATAAACCCACACTTTTCTTTGCTGGGTTTCCTCCTCTTTTGCTTCTCTTTTTGCAGAAGAGCAAGCACAAGCAGTGCTCCTGCTTCTTCGGGTTCTAACATGTACTGACCTCCCGTTGGGAAGAGAGGTTGGTTCCACAAGTTGCCTGGTGTAAAACCGAATCTTCAGTTGAGAGTCAACCGAGCAACT